ACACACACACACACACACATACACGTACGCATCGTACACGGCGTTTAATCGCGCGTCGATGCTTGTCGGTGCTCCGTGAGCATATCGCGGAGAGTACATGCAACGATCGGGTGCGTTACCGCGTGTGTCGAATCGTTGTTATTCTTACTATGCACACTGAGAAGTGCCCGATTACTATGAGAGAATGAGCTGCTCGGTGAAGATTTCCTGTGGCAAGAGCTGGAGCGGATCGCAGCGAAGGATCAACTCCCTCGCGGAGGAAACGACGTGCCCTGCGGTCGTTGGGGGCACGAGCTGCGCCGGCTTAGCGGGCCAACCGACCGCCGTAGCGTCGACCTCGACGTCGACCACGGCTACCACGTCCACGACGACCACCACCAGCACCGTCAGCCCGAGCACGCTGACCAGCGGAAGCCAGAGGCTCGCGCCGCCGCGTCCTGTCAAGTCGATTGCCGCTAAAAAAGGGGAGGATACCACGAAACTGCTCAAGTACATCGACGATAACGTCATCGGCAAGAACGGCACGTTCTTCGGACCATTCGGCCGCAGGAAAGGTCAGTGATCAATATAGTCTTTACCCCTACCACCTCCTCCAACCCTGCTGCCCCTTTGTCCCCACCAGGACCCATAAAGCTTCTCTCTCTCTCTCTCTCTCCATTTCTATCTCTTTGTCGTACTTTCCGTGACTCACGATGCAAAGAACCAACGTCTAGCTCCGGTCCATAAGCTCTCGTTAAGGTCGTCAACATCGTTCGATTAACGCGACACATTACCAGCTGTGCGCGTTCTATCAATAAAATCGAAGGTTCTCGTAGCTTCGACGAATCGATTTCTGGCTGCCCGCGAGGGTGTCGCTCTGTCTATTGGACCACGTCCTCCTTGGTCTCTCGCGTTTTCTACTTCTTCAGTCTCGATTCGAGATCATTTTATCTGAACGCGCGTGTACAACGATACGATACGTACGTATTCGTTTTATAGAATCGGACGGACAGAGCCTCGCGGTTTCCCGAACAGGTGCTTCTGCTCGAAGTCTGTTTCGCTATGCGCAATGGCAGGGGGATACCTCGCAAGTGCACTTGGCATATACCTTTCGTAACACGATACTCTGGAGAGCCGTGCGTGGAAACCTCTGTGTTGCGAGTATGTATCTCCAATTAGGAACGTAAAAGCACGTCGTACGTTCGTCGTTCGCGGTCATCAATATCGCGAATAAGTTTCTCCGTGTATCGCCGATTGTTATTGTTAACACGGTCGCGTGCGTGACACGCGAGATTTCGTGAAAGGAATATCCTCGCGAAGAGATCGCTCTTATTTCGGGATGTTTTATTTCGTGTGG